GTACAGGCTGTGCATGGTGCCACCACCTATACCATCAGGTGAAGTTTCAGTTGACTTTACTGCTTGGGTGACCCCAACAAAGATGCAAAATGCAACAGGAGATGGTTTCTGTTAGCAGAGGGCTATTCTTCATTCTTCTGCACTGCAGCCAAACCAGGCAGCTGTTTGGTTTAAGACACTTGTGTATTGAGCACCACCAGAGTGCTCTACACCAGGCAGGGACACCCTCTCAGCCAGGAGCAGAGAAGGGCTCTCCAGCCCAGTGCTGACCCAAGGTTGGGGTCTGGGTCAGACCATAGCTTCATACCTGGTCTCTCCAGCAGCAGAGCAGGCTCCTGAGCCCCACTACTTATATATTGCCTTAAACTGGAAACTTAATCTCTTTTATCTCTTACAGTACTTGCTCTACTGTCGCTCTGCATATTGCCATCTCCTCCAAGTGCTCTGGGCTTTTCCCAAAAAGCCCCGTCATGGTCAGGGGGATCTCAAACATCTCCTCTCTGCTATTATTACCACTGACCAGGAGATGAGAGGACCCACAGGCCGAAGCATGATTACCAACATCTTGCCTCATGCCACAGGTTTCTTGGTCAGCAGCAGTCACTGGAAGACACTCTTCTGCTTCCTGATGCCCAGGCTAGGATCCTCCTCCCTCTGCCCCACGCAGTTTCCAAAGGGACAAACCCCTACAGGTCCAAAGGTTTGTCTGTTTCTCTAATCACCTAAACTGTGACGAAAAAAAATATTACCTTTCCTCACAAATCTCACCACACCTAGAAATATTTATCTGCTGTTCCCAGTGTTTCCTAATTCCATGAAGGAGAACAGGCACTTTGCTCCCCTCTCCTTTCCTTCCACGGGGAAAAAGAAATCTAAAATTCCAACTGAGCAAAAGACACAGACAGAATTTCCTTTAACTTAGACCAAAACCACAACATGCATCAGCCAGGTTTGAAGTGGTGTAGGTTAGCAGGAAAGTGTTTAACACCAAGTGTTAACAGTAACAGGATTTACAAAGAAAAGGGCAGGGAGAGGGCAATAAAGTAAAAAATGCCACAGAAAATGGAAGAGTGTTCCCTAAGGGCAGACTGTGAAGCAGCAAGTTTGGGTACTTCAGTTCGCTCCACAAGACCTATTCCTAGAAAACAATTATGAAACATTCATGAAATAAAATGGAAATTCTCC